GCATTTTCTGACCGGTGACTCTACTCACCGACTGCCAATTCATAAGCAGGACAGAGTGGATCCGCACTGCACAGATGAGGAAACGGAGGCCCAGAGAGGGAAGGAAGGACGCGCTGACGCTGTTCAAGTACCTGCTATGTGCCACACACATTCCATTTGCTAATTCTCCACAACGTCCTCCCCATTGCATAAATGTGGACACTGAAGCTCAGAGAGGGAAAGCGACTTGTCCAAAGTCACACAGCAAGGAACTGGCAGAGGCCGAGTGCAAGCCCAGGTCTTTCTGCCTCCAGAGTCTGGAATGCAGAGCAAACGTGTAGTACATGGGGCTGACAGATCTGTCCCCAGGGCTGTTGTGAGGACCAGTTGGGATAATGGGAATGAGGGCGCCCGAAACAGTGCTTAAGGACTGTTCATAAAAGCTAAATCCTGACTGCGTCCACCTAGCCATACAGCGACCGGGGACAGAAGCCCGGGGGAGGCTGCAACCTGCCCAAGGTCAGGGCAAGTCCACGCTCACGGCCCCCAGGACCACTTCTTGCCCAGTGAAGGGCAGGCCTATCCCTCCAGGGCCTTCTCCCCTGAGAGTGGAAACTTCCAAAGTCCCTCTGACCTGACTGGAGGGTGAAGAGAGCAGGAATTTCTGCCATGGTACATGGATTTGGAGCCTGGGGCTGAGGGCTGACACCCGCCTCCCACGCTTGCCAAGGCCTCCAGGCCCGAAGGGCACCCCACCCACCCCACCCTCACAAAGGCCATCACAAAGACCGCGCCCTCCTCCAAGATCATCTGCCAATGAGAGAGGCTGTCCCAGCGTCCCCGTGTTCTTAGAGGAGACCGAAAGTTGTCAAGGCCAAGGGAACTGAGCACAGTGATGGGATTCCAGGTGTAACAAGCCAGTGAGGCAAATCACGGGGTTTGGGAAGGTCACAGCCAAATGGAATGAGAGCCCCTCCGCCCTCTTGCTCTTTAAACTTTTAAAACACTACAGACTTTCCTTTGGAACAAAATCCACTCCATTTTCTCCTCCCCAGCCCCCTGGCCCCATGTTCTCCTCCCCAGCTAGGCCTCCCCGTCCTGTTGAATGTGAACAATTTCACAGAACATCAGCATCAGGCAAGGCCATTCTGTGACCATTATGCTCAAGGCAAATCGAGGCCACTGAGTAACCACAGCTGAGCCTCAGCTGAGCACAACACACGACACACGACACTCCCGCCTCTCATGGCTGGTCTATGACAGTCGCCCCTCTGCCAACGAGAGCATGAGCCCTGCTTCTTGACGGTACCCAGTGTGGAGCAGAGCCCCACTTCCCCAGACCCTCCCTCAAACCCCCTAACCCCCAATAAGCCCTTTCTCACGCCCTCTGAGACATGGCTGCCTTGGGGTCTGTCCCCCTCACTGCCACAGGGAACGCAGCTATTAACTATGGGTGAGCCCTGGGTGGGCTTCCCCTATAAGGCAATGGCACATGGATTCAATCAAATACCCACCCACCCCCAACTCTGCAAAGGTCAAAGGCAGGAGGCCATCCCCTCCCTTTTGCACACGAGGGCCACAGAGGCCACCAGACTTGCCCAAGTTTGCAGAGCAGGGTGAATACATAATTTATCCTTCAATGGGGTCATTTTTTTTTTACAGTTTATTGTCAAGTTGGTTTCCATATAACACCCAGTACTCATCCCAACAAGCCCTCCTCCAAGCCCATCACCCCCCTTCCCCTCTTCCCCACCCCCATCAGCCCTCAGTTTGCTCTCAGTATTTAAGAGTCTCTCATGGTTTCCCTCCCTCCCTCTCCCCAACCATTTTTCCCCTTCCCCTCCCTCATAGTCCTCTGTTAAGTTTCTCCTGTTCCACATATGAGTAAAAACATGGTATCTGTCCTTCTCTGCCTGACTTATTTCACTCAGCATAACACCCTCAAGGTCCATCCAGGTTGCTACACATGGCCAGATGTCTTTCTTTCTCACTGCCATGTAGTATTCCAACATATAGATAAACCACAACTTCTTGATCCATTCGTCCGTTGATGGACACTTAGGCTCTTTCCACGTTTTGGCTATTGTGGAGAGTGCTGCTATGAACACTGGGGTACATGTGCCCCTATGTATCAGCACTCCTGTATCCCTTGGGTAAATTCCTAGCAGTGCTATTGCTGGGTCATAGGGGAGTTCTATTGTTAGTTTCCTGAGGAACCTCCACACTGTTTTCCAGAGGGGCTGCACCAGTTTACATTCCCACCAACAGTGTAGGAGGGTGCCCATTTCTCCACATCCTTGCCAGTATCTAGAGTCTCCTGATTTGCTCATTTTAGCCACTCTGACCGGGGTGAGGTGGTATCTCAGTGTGGTTCTGATATGTATTTCCCTGATGATGAGGGACGCTGAGCATCATTTCATGTGTCTGTTGGCCATCTGGATGTCCTCTTTCGAGAAGTGTCTGTTCATGTCTTTTGCCCATTTCTTCACCAGACTATTTGTTTTTCAGGTGTGGAGTTTGGTAGGTTCAATGGGATCATTTTCATAGTGAAAGGGTGCACTAAATAACAACTAAGCAGGGACAGTGGGCATAGACCAGGCCTGTCCAGGGCAGACCACGCGTATGGGACCTCCATCATGCAGTGAGACGTGGCAGGACCCAGGATGGGCAAAACCTGAACCTCGCCATCTCTCTCTGTTGCCCTGCACCACAGTGCCACGCCCTGAGCCACGGTTAGGCTCTCTGCTGATGGACCTGGCAGCCTGAGGCTCTGAATTCTCTGGTGGGGGCTGGGGAGCACCCTGCAGTTGCGATTCAGGGGCACGGGCTGCTCCTGAGATTCTGTGCCACACAACTGTCCCACGTGGTCACACTGCCATGGTTGGTGCTCACTTTCCAGAGAGTGTCCACCGGGCCGGCCAGGCACGATGCCTTATTTATCCTGCCCAGAGCGGGGGTGGGTGGTGGTTACACATAAAATAATTTGCAGGTGAAGGTGACCCCTTTAAACAGTGAAAACTTTATTTTAGCTATTTGCCCAGATGCCCCTTCTGATGCAGGTCCCCTGCTCCCTTGCCTTAGTAAGCAGGGCCCAGGAGCACACTGCACCTTACTGTCCACAGTCTCAGGGCCACCTAGCAGGAGCATGTGACAGCAGAGGGGATGAGCCCCGGGACGCCCTTCACTACAGAGGCTTTCCTAATAGAAGTGGTAATGACCCAGAACGAAGGGGGAGTGTGTCTCCAGGGACGTGTACTTTTTAAATTTTTAATGTTTATTTTTGAGAGACAGAGTGCAAGTGGGGGAGGGGCAGGGAGAGAGGGAGACACAGAATCCAAAGCAGGCTCCAGGCTCTGAGCTGTCAGCACAGAGCCCGACGCGGGGCTCAAACCCATAGACCGTGAGATCATGACCTGAGCCAAAGTCGGACACTCAACCGGCTGAGCCAGCCAGGCGCCCACAGGGGCTTGTACTTCTGACTCAGCACAGGGGGCATCCCCCTCCCTCAGCCGAGACCCCCACCTCTAACCTAGTCCCAGGGTGCAGGTTCTGAGCGCCCGGGCCTGGTGTGACACAGTGTCACTGGCCTTCTCTCTGAGGCTGCCACTGTCTGTGCTGGGGCCCCAGGCGTTGGCAGAGATCAGCCTCATATGAGCATCACACTGGGAGCTGCAGGACGATGTATCTTTGGGGGCAGCTCAGGCAGCCTGAGCTAGTCATCACTGTATTCAATGGCCCCAGATGGCTGTGAGGGTGTCACTCTACTGCTCCTGGTGTGTCCTCTGTGAGCCTCTCTGCTCCCGCCTTGGCTTTTACTCTGCACTCAGTTCCTAACTTACAAGACACCAAGCTCAGTAGATTGTAAGCTCTTGGAGGGCAAGGCCCTTCTAAGTTCAGATCTCTCTGCCCCTAAACATTCCGGCACACAGTAGGTACTCAGTAAATGTCACCCGAATCGAACTGAATCAAGCCAGGAGGCTTCATTTTAGCCACAGTCCTAAGCCAGTGCAGATGTACTCTGCAGGGAAGGGGGTTTCTGGGGGGCTTTCTGCCCGCCTTTGTGACTCCTGTGCATGCCATTTGGAGGTCTGAATGCCAGAGAGTGACGGGGTGGGGGTCTGAGAGTTCGGGGCTGGGGAAGGGGCATCTCCTGCGGAAGGCTCCAGTCAGGCTTGTAAACCTTCGGTGACCACTGACCTGAGCGCAGGACATACTGAAGCGAGGAGAGCAAACGCGCACGCCGTGGGCAGGCAGCCCTGCTCTGGCAGTGAGAGTTCAAGGCCCAACTCTGGAGATCCCGGAAGGAACTCGTTCCAGGAGGTGGTAACAGCAGGCAAAGCTTTCGGGGAGGCGTTTGAAGGATGAGCGTGAATTCGCCAGACACGCTGGTGGAGGGGACGACTTGGGACGGGCTTGGGGCAATGGGAGGTGGCGTGGGGTTGGAGGGGAGGAGGTTGTGCCGTGGGGCTGAGCAGGGAGGAAGCCGGTGACTCACGGGAGGCTTTGGACCCAGGGGTGGGAGCCACAGGAGGGATGTGGGCGGGCCGAGGTTAGCTCGGAATGAACCGGATCTCACCATCCACCTGGTATGGCATGGGGCGGGAGGGATGTGGTGGCCCCAAGACTCTACAGGAACGGGAGCCCCGAGAGACCTTCCCAGAGGCTCAGGGCCTCGGGGGGGCGGCACCAGGTTGGGTCCCGCTCAGAGGTCAGCTTTGGGCCGGGAGGGGGGAGGCGGAAAAGGCTCTTGAGGGCCCCCGTGGCTGCGAATCTTCTCAGTGAATCCTCCTCTGCCTCCAAAGCTTCACCAGAGAAAACTAATAGCTGGAGAGCAGCAGTCCACTGACGGCAAACATCCCCTCCCCATGCACTTCTTTGAGCCCTCAGAGCGCTCTCGGGCCCACCGGCTCGGCCGAACCTCCACACAGGCCCATTTGGCAGACAGGGACGTGGAGGCCCCATGAGGTCGGGTGGGGATGAGCAGCGGCGCAGGGCTAGAAAGCCCGGGGAGTGGGCCCATCTCAGCCCTGGGCGTCGGGCTCAAAGCCCAGTTCCTTGTCCGGAAGGGGGTCCCCAGGGCTGTCCGGCAGCCCGTAGTACAAGTCCTCCTCCTCCTCCTGCTCCGGCTCCTCTGTGCCTCCGTCTGAAGCCTCGTCTTCCTCCTCCCTTGTCCTTGAGCGGGACCACTGCCGCTCTGGAGGCGCGTCCTCCGCGGGGGCGTCGATCAGGGCAAAGTCACGGAAGCGGTCCAGCTGGTGCTTGCGGGCCCAGGGCTCCCCGGGCGGGGCAGGGGGCTCGCCGCCATCGGGTGGAGACGAGCTGAGGCCGCCACCCTCGTTGGAGTCCACATCCAGGTCGTCTTGGAAGGACGCCAGGGGTGCGGGGCCCTGGGGACAGGCCTCCAGGCTGCAGGAGCAAAGGCCGAGAGGGCAAGGGCAGCCCTGAGTCAGAGTGCCTGGGTCTGAATTCCAGCCACTGGCTGCAAGGCCCGGGGCAGGCGAGTTCACCTGTCTGGGCCTCAGTTTCCTCCCCTGTCAAGTGGGAGAAATCATCGTACTCACTCCTATGGTTGTCTCTGAGGAGTAGAGCACATAGTGTGTGCAGAGCACTTTCCTGGCACACAGTAGGTGCTCAAGAAATGGGCATTGTTATGTTATTATCCACACCGGGTCCTTCCTCTCCCTCCGCAGCCATTCAGGGGCCACGTTCAGTTCCCTCGTCTGCATCCCACATTAGACAGGGGGCTCCAGAGGGGTGGGGGGCCCTCAAGGCGGGGGGGGGGCAGGCAGTAGGTGCCAATGACGGCGGTAGGATAAGTGGGGAAATGGATGCATGAGAAGCTGGGTTCATAAGCAGCCAGGAAAGAGGTGGGTGGCAACCGCCCTGTCCAAGGTCACAGAGCACGTAGGCGGCAGAGCCCATGTTTGAACTCAGGTCGTTGGGCTCCCTGCCCCCGGGGAACTGACCACGAGCATTCTGAGAGTGCCAGGGGCTGTGGTGTGCCCGGCACTCTGTCCCAGTTCTCACAACAAGCCTGTGGAGTAGGAGTGATTATTCCCACGTGGGGAAACTGACGCCCAGGAGGATAAGAACCTTGCCAAGGCTACACAGCAGAGGAGCTGGGATGTGAACCCAGGCCTGGCCGCCCAAGCCCAGATCATGCGTCTGCTACACCGGCTGCCTCTCAGGGTGTCCCCGCCCCCATGCCAGCTCTGCTCCCAAACGTCCCCCACTGCCGTCAGCAGTCCACAGCCCCTCCTCCATCACCCCCGGGACTGGGCAGCACCCCCACTGCTGCACCCGGTGCACTCACTCAGGCCTGCTCTCAGTCGAGCTTCTTTCTCCCCCGTCTTCCTCTGAGCCCCTGTGGATGACCACCGCGGCCTCCGTCCAGGCCTGAGCCTCACCAGGGCCACCTTCTCCTCCAGCACTGGATCCCAGCTGCGGCTGTCCCGGCTCAGGGGCCAGCAAGGGGCGGGGGTCCTCGCGGTAGCCCATGACCTTCATCTGGATGTGGCTGAAGTCCGGCAGGCTCTGGTCATAGGCGGCCTCCTCCCACAGCCTGACGTACGGGGGCTGGGGGCTGGGTGGGACAGAGCACACATCCAAGAAAGGACAGGCAGGTAGGTGGGCAGACATCACACACAGGAGGAGACACTGGCGTCGCCCCCACCCCTGCCCTCCCTCTCTGGACATCTGGTCTCCCCGGATCTCAAAGGAGTCTTTGGGGGATGTAACTGTACCCAGTTCATGGACGAGAACGCTGAGGCCCACAAAGGAGTGGCAGAGCTCAGACTCTCAGTCCACTGATCCTTTTACTCCACGTCTCCAAAGTTAACCCCAGGAGCACAGCTGGGAGATGCACACCAGTCGCGTCGGCTGAGAGTGGGCCGCCTTTCAGAGAGCGGGCTAAAGGCCCACACTCACCATCCCATTTAGCTGAGCACCACCTTGGAGCCCAGTGATGGTCCCCATTGCCCGGCTGAGGACAACAGCCCAGCTATCAAGTGCTCCTTGCCCGCCAGGCTCTGTCAGGGAGCTCATCTCATCCCACCATAACGGAGGCACTGAGACTTCAGCCAGTTCGCCCTGAGGGCCTCGGACACCAAGTGGCATGCGAGGGCTCCGGCCATCACGTTCTCTACCCTCTCTACAGCCCTCTGGAAAGTGAGGTTCAGAGACTGGTTCCCTTGCCCAGGGTCATACAGGAGGAGCCTGAGCAGCAGCTCTGTGGAGGGGCCCTTCCTGTGCGCCCGGCCCCGAGGCTGACCCTATGCCCACCCAGGGTCTAGCCACCTCCTTCCCCTGGGGTCATTCAGTCACTCTGGGAGCCAGGAACAGAAAACACCTTCACTGCCTCCCTCCCCAAGCAAAGCAGAGAGTTCCAAGGCCCTGGTCACAGACCCTGGACGTGCAGCTTGGCCCTCTGAGCACAAAGTCACAGCCTTTGGGGCTGGGGAGGGTGACTGGTCGCACTCCCGCCCCAGGGCTGGAGGGCTTGCTGCTGTGTCCCAGCGAGCCAGGCTTGGCACCTTCAAGGAGGCAGGTCTGGTCTGGCCCATCACTGACTCCCTACAAGGTTTGAGGCCTGTGATTGTCCTTTCTGAGCCTCAGTTTCCACATCTGTGTAAAGGGTTCCTATGAGGACTGACGGAAGTAATGAGTGCAAAATACCTAATTTGGTCTCGGGTGGAAAGGAAGCAGTTCATACACATGGTGACACGCTTAGAGAGAGGGCCTGCCATGCACCAGGTTCTGTTCTTATCACTTTGCTTATATTATCTCACTTATCTCTCCCCGAAACCCTAGGAGAAAGGTGCTATTAGTACCCCTATTTTACAGGTGGGGCAAAGAGAGGTAAGTCACTTTCCCCAAATCCCACAGGGCTGTGCTTGGCCAGCAACATGCCCCTTGTTTGCCATAGTAGCTGTCACAGCTGTTTGGGATTTAGGGCCACACCTGTTGTGGATTTTCAGTCTGCCCCTAAGTCGCTCCAAGACTGGACAAAGTCCCTGAGCCTCAGTTTCCTCATCTGTAAAATGGGAATAATAATGCCTGCCTCCTAGAATTGCGAGTTCAGAACAGTCGCTGATTATTAATAGCTTGTTCTCAGTAACTGAGGGGGGGGCAAAGCAGACCCTGCAGGGAGCAGGGGAGGCACCCCCCCACCCCTCCCATCCGACTCCATCACTGTCCTCTGTAAGAGGAGGCTAGCCTGAGGGGCTGCTGCTGCCCCACCCCCGCCCCAGAGGGCCTGGTGCCTACCTCTTCATCTCCGCGGCCAGCCCATTCTCCAGCAGGCCCAGCGCCTTTGGGGACAGGATGCCTTGGAAGTCCGAGTCAGCAGGTATGAAGGTGATCTGCAAGGCAAAGGAGAAAAGGCTTCTCTGCAGCTCCCCGACCCGTCCTGGCCAGGAGGGCCTCCCCGGGTGACAGGAGAAGGGCCAGCTCAGGGCCCAGCACCAGGGGGTGGAAGGATCTCTAGGCTCCTGCCCCCACCCAGGTCTTCATTCACCCAAAAGACATTTACTGAGCACCAGCTGTGTGCCAAGCACTCTCCTTGGCCCTAGGGGGCAGCAGCAAGCAAATGAGACAAACACCCCTGGGCTGGAGGAGGTGGTATCTTGTCATTTCCCAGGGTCCTCATCCAGTGCCCAGAATGTGCCTGACACAGAGCAGGTGCTTCATGCCTATCTGGTGAGTGAGTGGAGGGCAGGTTACTCTCATAGATTTCTTGGCACAGAGGCTGGGGGGGAGTGAATGGCTGAGGTTACACCCACTAGTCCCTGTCCTTGAGCTTCCAGGGATCAAGAGGTCTCTGCAAGTGCAGTAATGGAATGGCCACTGGGTGGCAGAGGAGAGGCAGGTCATAAAGGAGGCAGTGGGGTGAGACAGAAGGAGCCTGCTTTGGAAGTCGGGGAGACTGGGGAAGAGTCCTTCCTGGAGCAGATCATCCCTCCTCTCAGAGCCTCTATGTGCTCCTCTGTAAAATGGGCTAGCCTAGAGGAGGTATCTGCAGCATTGTTCACAACAGCCAAAAGGTGGAAACACCCCAAGTGTCCAGCAACAGATGAATAGATAAAGCGTGGTACATGGATGCAGTGGAACCTTATTTGGCCTTAAAAACGAGGGGAAGTTCGAACACAGGCTACAGCATGGATGAACCCTGAAGGAATAAGCCAGTAACAGGAGCGCCTGGGTGGTTCAATCAGTTGAGCATCCAACTTCAGCTCAGGTCACGATCTCGCAGTTTGTGGATTCAAGCCCCACATCGGGCTCATTGATGTCAGTCTGTCAGCGCGGACCCCGCTTCGGATCCTCTGTCCCTCTCTCTCTGCCCCTCCCCTACTTGTGCTCTTTCAAAAATAAACATTAAAAAAAAGCCGGTAACAGGAAGACAAATTCTGTAGAAGTCCACTTATATGAGGTAGCTTCAGTAGCCAAATTCATAGAGACAGAGAGTAGAATGGCAGTTGTCACAGTCTGGAGGGAGGGGGTGGGGAGTTATTGTTTAATGGGTAGAACAGAGCTTCAGTCCTGCAAGAGGAAAAGAGCTGTGGAGATCGGCGCACGACAATGTGAATTTAATTAACACTACTGACCTGTACACTTAAAAATGGTTAACTTTATGCAATGTGTATTTTACCACATTTTTTTTAATACGGCTAGTGAGACCTGTCCCCTGGGGTTGCTGTGAGGACCCCACGAGACAATGTATGAGAATGCCCCAGCACAGTGCTGGGCATATAGTGGCTGCTCAGTAAACCATAGTTTGATGCTACTGAAGGTGAAGTTGTCTGACCTCTCTGAGTATGCTGTCCTCAGCTGAAAATCTGTTGAACCTATATGTAACGAGACCCTACTGTATGATACCGGGGTCCTAAGTAGCAGCCCCTCTGTCTCTTCCTACAGAGCACGATGAGTAAAAGACACTTGTCTGCACCCGGAAAGCCCCCTCCTGTTGGCAAGCAGGGATGATGGACAGAGGGGATCTTAGAGCTCCTAGGAGTGGCCAGCTTCCCCTAAATGTCTAGAAATAAGGCAAGGGTCTTGGTGTCTTCCACACCTACCAAAGATGCCCTGACTTGCCAGCTGGCTCTGTCCTTCTTAGAAGCTGCCCATTCCTCTACCTCATTACCTCAGGGCTCAGTCACCACCTCCCTCCCTTCCTCATCACCATCATCATCATCATCATCCACACTACTGCCACCCCCACAACCATCACCACCACCATCTCTGTCACCATCACCGTCGTATCATAACCACCACCACTGCCACCATCATCATGTCCATCAACATCATCACCATCACCACCTCCACAGTCATAATCTCCATCAACATCATCATTATATCCTTACCACCACCACCACCATCTCCATCAACATCATCACCATCACCACCACCATCACCATCACCACCATTTCTCCATCACCATCGTCACCATCATCATCTCCATCAAGATCAGCATCACCCTCATCACCATCACCATCGCCATCACCATCATGATCTCCATCACCAACATCATATCATCACCATCACAGTCACCACCATCATCTCCACCAACACCACTGTCCTCATCACTATTACCTTCCTTAACATCATGATACACCCTCACCATTATCACCACAGGGAAAAGCCTGAAGAGGGAAGGAGAGGCTGGAGCATGTTAGAACACAAGTCCTTCAAAGAGAGAGGGACAGGCAGAGGTGAAACTGGTGTGGGGTACCAGACTATGAGGACCCCAGGACATCACCCAGAAGCAACGGGAGCCCTGGACGAGTCCCCAGAAGACAAGTACACAGGCTGATTTGTGTTCAGGCAGAGCACCGAGCGGTCCCCAAAGGGAGATAGCAGAGGGAGCGAGGGAGAGCCGAGGAGAGTATAGATCCATCAACCACCGATCAGGGGCCTGGTCCCGGCTTCCAGTAGAGCCGGCAGGAGAGGGGTTTGGGGGAACTGTGGGTAGAAACTGAAGCCGGCCTAGGGAGAGGCCCTGCTTCCTCTGCCAACCCTTCCCTTCTCCCCTCAGCCCATGGGCACAGCGCCCCTGGCTGCCCGTCTCCCAGACTTGCCCCAATTCCTCCGGCTCCGCCGTGCCTGAGGTCCAGCCAGCCACCACACCTGCCCGAGTCCACTTCAGGAATTCAATGGGATAAGCTCAGCGGAAGTGCCAGTGCTATGCCTGGCCGCGGCCCGCCCCGCACATGTGACGAGCTACACATGTCTTCTCAGCTCCTACGGCCTTGGGTTCAAATTCTCCTTAGTCCAGGGGCCCATCATCTCTTGCCTGGACCAATGAAGAGAGGTCCTCCTCCACTGGCCCGATTGCTCCCGATCCTTCCACCTTTCAGATGCCAGCCGCGGGACTTCCCTGAAGCGCAAGGCTAATCGTGTCCCCAGGCCCCACAGAGCCGGGCCCGCTCTGTCTCAGCTTCCTTTCCACCTGCCCGCGCAGCAGCCATGTCCACCCGCACTCTGCTTGCGCTTCTGCCTCCTGTCTTTGAGCATGCTGGCCCTCCTCCCTGGCCAGTCCCTCCCCATCTTCTCTGCCTGGCGGGCTTCCACCCAACCTACACGGGCCTGCTCGTCTTCTCTGGGAAGCCTGCTCTCTCCCCGACAGGCAGAAAATTGTACCCCCCCACCCCGCGAGATCCCCAGCCCCTCAAAGACAGGGCCAGCTGAACTCAGGCTACTCTCCTATCTCAATTGGCTGATTCCATTCCCTTGTATTTATATTCGTTTCAATCCGGAAACTTCCCATTTGTCAGGCCAGCGTTTGCCGAGGGCACGAGACAATGAGGGAGCCGGGGCCTCTCCCCTGGCTGGTGTCCCTGGCCACGGCACGCTTCCCCTCCTCGCCTAGGTGTGCAGGCTCTAACGGCCTGCGACTTGGAAACACACCGCCCACACCAGTGCTCACGCCCGCGCACGCAGAGGGGCCTGCCCAATGCCACAAACCCCAGTCCACAGGACAAGGTTTGATACTGATCCCCTGCTCCCCCAGCTGGGCGTGCAAGGCTGCTGCGGGAGGCTGGGGGGGGGGGGCGCCCCCTGCCAAGGTCACAGAAGAGGGGCGTAGGGAGGAGGGATTTGAATCTAGGCCCGGAGGACTCTAAGTGTGTGCTGTCCCTACCCGGCCATGCTGCCTCTAAGCACCTGAACACGTGAATCTATCAACAGTTACTCATTAATACCCAGAAAGAGGCCCTCCCCCCTCACTCCCTGACTCCCCACCGCCTCCCGCTCCCTCACCTGCCACCCCCAACCTCTGGTAAAGGGGCAGAGGGCAGGAAGGACACCGCCCTCCACACCCCTGCCATCCCCTTGCTGGGCCCCAGGATGCAGCCTCCTTTCAGGGAGAAGGGTGACAATGGAGGAGGTGAGGCAGGCGGCCAGGGCCCCACGGACCTCTTCTCCCAGTGACCTCCGCTTAGGGCATCGCACAGACAGAGGCCGGTTGACTGTAAACTTCCCAGTGAATGAGTACAAACCAGTCCAGGCCGCCCCAGCTGCAAACACGCTCACAGCCCTGGGCTGGCCCACAGCGGGGGCAGGGCGGGGGAGAGCCGTCCAGGCCCCCAGGAGCTTCCTCCCTCCTCCCCCGGGCCCCTGAGCACGGCCACCCCGGTGGGAGGGAGGAGCGGGCTGCAGGGTGTGGGGGCTGGAGCCCTCCACATCCTTAGAGGCACCCCCTTTCTCACACGCTCTTCCTGACACACACATTGTACATAGAGGAAACTGAGGCTCAGAGAAGGAAGAGGCTTGACCAAAGTCTTCCAGGCAGTGGGAACCAGAGCCCAAGTTAGAATCCGTGCTTGTCTCCTTGTCTCCCTGGGTCTGCCTGACCAGCTGTGTGACTTTGGAAAAGTCACTCATCCTCTCTGGGCACTGACAGCTTACAACTCCTGACATGGGCTGCACATTGTCGGGGGGACCAGTGAGACTGGAGAAGCCTTTCTCCTAAATACAATACCCAACAGTTCAGAAAACATTCCTACATCCCATCTCTCCTCTGTTCTTCATAATAACTCTGGGGGGCTGGGAGAAATAGGAGCTTGAAGCCCATTTCACAGATGAAAGAAACTGAGGCTCGGAAAGACCAAGGTCACACAGAACGTTTGAGACAGAGCAGGAACTAGAACTCAGGACCCCCAAACCACGGTTCTTCTCATCATCAAATCACTTATACGGCCAGGAGGGCATTGACACTGAAGGACAGAGCACTGCCCAGCCCACACCGTCAAAGCCACACCTGCCCCACCCTGGAACTCTCAGCGGCTCTGGGACACAGGGACAGCTCTCCGAGACGGACACACACCTCCTAGCTCAACCCCAACCTGCACACTTAGAGGCTGAGGGACCTCACCTTCCTGCTTCCAGCACTTCGCCACTCTAAAATGGAACTACGGGGGCACCAGGGGGCTCAGTCAGTTAAGCATCCGACCTCAGCTTAGGCCATGATCTCCCGGTTCGTGAGTTCGAGCCCTGCATCTGCACTGTTGGGGCACAGCCTGCTTGGGATTCCTTCTCTTTCCCTCTCTGCCCCTCCCTTGCTCTCCCTTCCTCTCTCTCTCAAAAATAAATAAATACACTTAAAAAATAAAATAACAAGGAGCTACAGACGGTACCCAAAAGCTCAGGATGAGGACAGCTGCCCCGTGAACGCAGGGGTGCCTGGCAGGCAGCAAACACACCTTAACAACGCTGGGTTCGAGCACGTGATTGTGCGTTGGGTCTCAGTGTGTCTCCCACATGGCTCAGGGCTCCAGGCCCAGGGGGCTTCTGATCAATCCTTATGCTGAGGAAGGGAGGGAGGGAGGGATGGGGGATAGATGGATGGAAGGAGGGATGGAAGGAGGGATGCAGGGAGGGATGGATACATGGGTGCTCATGAAGGCAAAGAAGAAAAGAGAGTCAATTAGGGGAGGATGAGAAGACCAGTGGAGAGTGGGGGGCTATGCGGGACCCAGAGGCACAGCCCGAGAGCCCCCCAGGCCGGCCCGCAGCCCACGTGCCGCCGCCTCCGCCTACCTTGGGGTAGCACTGGCACATGCTCCAGACGACGCCCCCGATCACCATGACGCAGCCCATGGCGTAGAAGGTACCATAGACCTGGGGCCGGTCGTGGCTCATGAGGAACGTGCCGAGAGCCAGCAGGAAGAGCCCCAGCACGATGAAGCCGATGCGGAAGGTCTTCTCGTCAGCCATGGCTGCCCGGCCAGGGCCCAGCTGGAGGGGGGCCGGGCACGGGGCGGGCACCGCACCCCCACCCGGGGAAGGACGGGGTCCGGGACCCCCGCGGGCCGGAGCTTCGGGGCTCCCTCCAGGTCCAGCTAGAGCCGGGGGCGCGCCGCTCGCCCGGCTGCGGGGGGCTGCGCTCCGGTGGGCCCCGGGCCGCCCCCCACCTGGACTCCCCGTCACCTCCCCTGTGGGCCCGGCCAGAGCGAGTGTGCCGTGTGGATCTGGGTGAGGGAAAACATGAGGGAGGGAGAGGGGGAGGTTTCAGAGGCTGGGCCCCGGCCAAGGCTTTGACATCACCTCATTTGCCTGCGTGGGGCTGAGCTGGGCTGGACGGGGTGGCCCCAGGCCTCCCTGCCACAGGCAGCAGGCGACAAAAATGCCCCGGCCCAAAGACATTAGCATGCGGCCAGAGGATTGGGGGTGGGGGGGCACGAGCTCGCAGTTTAGGATCCTGAAGAACCTTGGGCTCCTCAAGGTCGTGTGCCCCTCTGGGTTTCAGGAATAATAGCTCCTACTTACCCGTCGGTGGCTGCATGCATCACCTTGCTCTAAAAGCGTCACAGGTATTAACCCACTTAAGGGAATCCCATGGGGCAACTACTCCCACCCCCACTTTACAGATGAGGACAGAGGGGTAAATCGCCCAAGGTCACACAGGCAGACGCCGCAGGGCAGTAGAATCTGAACCCAGAGGCTGTGCACCCAGCGACCAGGTGATACCCTAACTGTAGGTGGAGATTTGAAGGGTGGGGTCTGTGTCCAGGCTCCGGTTCTGGCCCCTCTATGATGAGATTACCTCTCTGTGCCTCAGTTTTCCTCCTCTGTACAATGGGGATGATGACAGCACCTCCCAGGACCAGAGCTACCTCCAGGCCCGGCCTCCCTGGTTCCTCTTTCCTGCCTCCTACTCTGTGCTGCCCCAGACGGGCTTACAGTGAGCCGCCCCCTAGGAAGTCTGTGTGCATTAACGCCCCTGTAGGGTGTGAATGACTGACAGGGAGAGCCTTGCCTCCTAACCTGGGAAGATGCCTTAATCCTAAGAAGGGCATTTTTAAAAATTTATTTTATTATTATTTTTTTTATTTTAAATAGCTTATTGTCAAGTTGGCTTCCATATAACACCCAGTCAGTGCTCATCCCAACAAGTGCCCTGCTCCATGCCCATCACCCCCCTTCCCCTCCCACACCCATCAGTCCTCAGTTTGTTCTCAAGAGTCTCTCATGGTTTGCCTCCCTCCCTCTCCCCCACTATTTTCCCCTTCTTCTCCCCCACGGTCCTCCGTTAAGTTCCTCCTAATCCTCCTATACGTGAAAACATATGGTATTTGTCCTTCTCTGCCTGACTTATTTCGCTCAGCATCACACCCTCAAGGGCCATCCAGGTTGCTACACATGGCCAGATTTCATTCTTTCTCATTGCCATGTAGTATTCCATCGTATAGATAAACCACATCTTCTTGATCCATTCGTCCGTTGATGGACACTTAGGCTCTTTCCATGTTTTAGCTATTGTGGAGAGTGCTGCTATGAACATTGGGGTACATGTGCCCCTGTGCATCAGCACCCCTGTATCCCTTGGGTAAACTCCTAGCAGTGCTATTGCTGGGTCATAAGGGAGTTCTATTGCTAGTTTCCTGAGGAACCTCCACACTGTTTTCCAGACGGGCTGCACCAGTTTACATTCCCACCAACAGTGTAGGAGGGTGCCCGTTTCTCCACATCCTCGCCAGCATCTAGAGTTCTCTGATTTGCTCATTTAAGCCACTCAGACAAGCGTGAGGTGGTATCTCAGTGTGGTTATGATTTGTATTTCCCTGATGAGGAGGGATGCTGAGCACTGTTTCATGTGTCTGTTGGCCATCTGGATGTCCTCTTTGGAGAAGTGTCTGTTCATATCTTCTGCCCATTTCTTCACTGGATTGTTTGTTTTTCAGGTGTGGAGTTTGGTGAGTTCCTTATACATTTTGGATACTAGCCAAGAAGGGCATTTTTTTAATGTTCATTCATTTTTGAGAGACAGAAAGAGAACTGGAGCTCAAGTGGGGGGAGGGGCAGAGAGAGAGAGAGACAGAATCTGAAGCAGGCTCCAGGATCCGAGCTGCCGGCAAAGAGCCCGACGTGGGGCTCGAACCCACGAACTGTGAGATCATGACCTGAGCCGAAGTTGGACGCCCAACCCACTGAGCCATGCAGGTGCCCCCTGAGAATGGCATTCTAATGTTGGAGTGTCAGTCCTGGGAACAGGCTGATGGGAAAAATCAGATTCCTTTATGGGATTACATGAAAAGAAGGCCATCAGGATCTCTGAAAGAAAAGGGAAGCTTGTAGTTCATACAGGGTTGAGTTGCCACCACGGGACACAAGGCTTTCAGATGGCTTTGTGACTTAGTGGGCTTGGGTGGGGGGGGATTCTGTTTGTTGTCACCGCCTTCTCCGTCCTCCCCAACGTGAGCTGTGCTTGCTCTGGGGCACCACACCTGTGCTCACATACACTTTTTCCAGAGGCGGTTTCGGGGTGGGGGGTGTCCCCTGTAATAGCTCTGGAGACTCTCACAGGGAGAGGTTGCTGAGGGGTCCAGAAGGGCTGAGAGACACCCGGTCCCATCCAAATTTGACTCCCCGGGTGAACCTGGGCTGGTGGCTCCACTCTGGGCTTGAGACTTGTCACCTGTCCATTGCAGGTAGTGTCAGGCCACCTCCTAGGTACTGTGGGGGGAAGTGACTTCATGGGGGAGCAAGTGCTTTGTAATCTGATTATCAACATGGCTGGACCCCCCCCCCCCCCCCCCCCACGCAGTACTCTTCTTATCTTAAAGCCTTAAAGAGGCTCAGAGAACGGAAGCGACAAGCGCCCCTCCCAGAAAAGGAGACCGAAGCCCAGGCCCGGCGCTGCTGTGGGAAGTGGAGCTGCGCGGTCCCGCTCCAGCAGGAGCCTCCTGCGCCCCCTAGTGGCCGTCGTAGCACCCGCTCTGCAAGACGCTCGCATCCGCGTTCAATCAGGCCTTCTCTGCCCCCTCCGGGCCCGTGTTATCTATCGTGCACATTACAGACAAGGAAACTGAGCCCTGGGAGTGGCAGGGACTGGCCAATGTCTCCCCAAATTGGGTCGGTGGCTAAACAGGACCGGGACCCATGCAGCCTAAGCCCCAGCATAGATGGATCGGGTCTTTGGCCTTCCCGGAAAGGCCTCCCAAGTCACTAGAGCATTTTCCTCTGTGCCCCACCTTTTATTTCCTCGCCATGACACAGCCTCCTTTCCCCCTTTTCGCTCCTCTTAAAAACGGGGGGAGAGACAGTGAGTAAGCTCTGGGGCAAGTATGTGCTCAGTACAATGGGTCTGATATAACCACTTCCACAGAGCCGCAGTGACCGTTAAATGGGAATATGTGTGTCCGGAACGTTGGCAACGCCTGGCCTCTGCGCTTCCTGCTGCCCTCCCACTTGCCCGTGGCCTTCACCCTCCTCCCAGCCAAGCTGGCGGAGCAGTGGTTCAGGGCTCTATCATCTTCCAGCAGAGGGCGTGCTAACCTCTGTTTCCTTCCTCTCAGATCAATTCAGGATCCTCAGGAGAGCCTCGGAGGCAGGGAGTGGAAAGATCACACCCATCTGACAGATGCAGATTCTGAGGCTCATGGAGGCTAAACCTGTCAACAGCAAAGCCATCAGGCCCTGGATAATTTGCCCACGCCTCCCACCCCATCAGCTCTCTGAGCCCATCTCCTGCCCTGCCTCCTCTCACTGGACTCCAGTCCCCTGGCTCCCTGCTCTTCTCAGAACACAAGGCAACCCAAGGCCTTTGCACCTGCTGTTCTTCCTGCCTGCAAAACTCTTCCTCCAGATGCTTGCATGACCCCCCCCCCACCTCCTTCAAGCTTTTGTCCCAATGTCATCTTCATTTTGAGGCCTCCCTGCTGTGACATCGGGTATGCAGGGGACCGTGACATGGATTAGATCTTAATTCTACAGTTAGTTTCTGGTTCCAAAAACAGGTTGGAAGAAGCAAAACAGGGTGGTGGGAGTGAGGAGCAGTCGTTGGGCTCTAGCAGAAACCTAGAGAGAGGAAAATTTAAGTTTCAGGGTACAGGGTTCAGGCCAACCCAGAGGGTAACAGAAGCCCGAATGTCTCAGGTCTGGCGGCAGCACCGGACATGAACCCCAAATGGTGGGTAAAGAAAGCAGACAGTTGGGTCCAGAAGGAAAGAGTCCAGGAAGCAAACTGATGCCTACCCGGGGCTGTGGGAGGGGCAGACCCAGCCTCATGGGGCTCCTGCTCCCTGCCAGAGGGTCCCCCTGTTGACAGTGAGGCTGCTGTGGCTCAGAAGGGGACAGTGGCCTGCCTCCTAAGGAGACTGGCTCTGTGGTCTGGCTCGGCCTCTAGGGCACTGGTGACCTTGAACAAGTCACTGGCCCTCATGGGGGCTTTTACACACAAGCCCTGCCCACTGCTGCCCCCTCCAGCCCAGCTCCCCCTGTGTGTGTCCACAAGTTGCCTGCTGCCCACTGACCCACCTGGCCGGGGAATTCCTGGGTTTGAGGGATGGAGGGAATCTGGGCTCTGCGTCCCAGCCTAGGACCCCATTAGCTCCTCAGGAATTGTAGAGAGCTGATAAATCACCCTTCCCCATCCTCATGATATGTACGGGAATCTGGAGTGTGTGTGTGTGTGTGTGTGTGTGTGTGTGTGTGTGTGTAACTGGCTCAGGGTCGCACAGGAAGGGCAGGATGGAGGCAGGGTTCCCACCATAGTGAGAAGGTTCTGTGCAGATGGGAGAGGAGAGGAAGGGAAGGAGGCAGGATTTGGTGACGGGGAGGGAGAAGATTACGGAAGAGTTGTGAGATCTGGCGAGGGTGGGCCCAATAATGAGAACCGTGGTGACATTTATCCCTCAGTCAGTCGGCGAATGTGTGCTGAGCACCTCCATGTGCCAGGCACCGCTTCTAGGCCTTAGGGATCCCGAGGTAAAGGAAAGAAATATCTCTGTTCTAGCAGAGATTCCTGGTGGGGAGAAACATACAATAAACAAATAAACAAGAACAAATGTTAAATGGTGACAGGTGTTACTTAAAAACTAGAGCGGGGGCTGGGGACTTCAGTTTTACTGGAGTGCTCAGGGAGTTCACGGGGAGGAGGGCACAGCGGGATGGGGGTAGGTGAGGAGTGGGCTGTCTGGAAGAGCTTCTGAGAGGCAGAGGCAAGCGCGAGGAGCTTCTGCAGCTGGAGCAAGGGCTCAGTTTCCTCGCCTGCTAAATGGGAACAGCACCTATAGAGAGCAGCCTTGATGGTGTGAAAGGATGGCAGAGGCCATCACTGGCACACAGTAGGCCCTTAGGGAATGCTGCCCTTCTCCAGCTGACCGAATCCCGGGGCTTGCTGTGTGATCCTGGGAAGGTTACTTAACCTCTCTGAGCTGGCTTTCTCAGTGGCAAATGGGGTGAGGTAGAAATGAAGGATGCAGATTGTAGCTGGAAAGAAAATAGATGTTTCTGCCATAATCTGGAAAGCAAGGGTACATAATGAGCTCCCTGTCCCCGGAGGTATGGAAGCAGAGACAGGTTTCACACTGACACCTGCCATTGGGTTAAGACGGGCATTTATTGTTTGGTGCGTTAGTACTGAGCCTACAGGGTCAATGGGAGCTCGCAGTGCCAGCTGGTGTCGTCTCCTTTATCCCCCACAACCCAACTTGGCAGGTAGGGGCCGCTGTCATTCCCAATTCCCATTTTATACACAAGGAAACCAAGGCAGAGAGGCAAAGCCACTCATTCAAGGTCACTCAACTGGCACACAGTGAAACCCATGCCCAAGTGGTCTGAATGCAGAGCCCACATTCTTCTGATCACCGGCTCAGCGTGTGGCCCGAAGGCCCCCACTTATCCACACAACAAAATCTCCCAGCTGCTAGCCATCTTGGCCCAGCTGGGCCCCCCAGGGACTGCAGCCCCACCAACACCATGTGCAGCGGAAGAACCACCCAGCTGGGCCCAGGCAACCCACTGAGTCACGAGAGAGAATAAAATGGATTTATTTCAAGCCGTCTGTTACACAGCAATAGGTCAATACAACCACCTCCAGCAACAAATATTGGCTGAGCGTCCCCTGTGGACCCGGCACTGTACTCTACACTAGAAGCTCGTCATTTGTCCTCAGCTTTGGAGTGCATTGGGAGCCTTGAGCTGCCTCCCGCCCCCCGCTGTGGTCTGAACCAGTCCTGGGGAGGAGGACGCCATGGCGGGTGCCATCTCTCCAGAGATGCCACTAACAGCAGTGATGGCGCTCTCGTAGCTGGGCGGCGGCAAGGGGGGCTGGGTCTCAGGCAGGGCATCCTCAGAGGCACAGCCCTTTGGGCTTTCTTCCGTGGGGTACGCAGGTGGTGGCGGGGGCCCCTCGGCGAGTGGACAGCACATGGCCTCCTCATAAGTGGGGATGGCACCCACCATTGGGATCCTGCAGGACCGAAGAAGAGAGGCTGTAGCAGGGGCTGGGTCAAACACACTATGAGCCAGGAAAAGAGCAAGGGGGGCTGGGGCTGGGGAAGACTTCGTGCCCTGGTCCAAACCCTTTGCCCGGGAAGGTCCCCCCTCCCCCACCCCCTCCCTGCTGGCCAGTCCCCACTCGTCCTTGAGACTCCTCTGGGAAGCTTTCTTAACTGGTCCCCCCTCTCCGAGCAAAGCTCTCGCTCCCTCCTCTGGGCTCCCAGAGGGCTCTCTCCCTCTCACTGCACTGACCCCACCAAGTCCCCTCGGGTGTCCCTCAGGGCAAGGATGGACTTTGAGCATCTACAAGCTGAGGCCAGGTGCCTGGGGATGCTTGTTGAAAGAATGATGGTTCATAGGCAGAAAGACTTCTAGCTTGTTGTAATAATCCCATACAAGCTCCAGAGTTGTAGATGCTCAGGGCAGGATGGGAGACGTCAAGTGATTCCTTCTACTTGCATGTCACCAGAGATGGAGAGCTCACTGTCTACCGGGTCAAGCACATCTATCTCTAAACAGCCTGGCTTTCCTGTGACTTGCCCTACCTCCAACAAATGAACTACACTGCCGGCCCTGGGGGCAGAATCCAGGTCCTCTGGGCCTGTGACCAGGCTTCACAGGCCAGATTCAAAACACAGGTTACCTGTACCCTAGCCACAATGCTGATGGGAATGACGCTGGCCCTCAGTCCCCTCAGAACCCCGGAGGTCACCTCTGGGGAGCGTTACCGATCCTATGACTTGAGCCGATTCCCCTTCGGGTATGGCTGCCAGTTACAGGAGCTGCCCAAGTGACCCTGAAGGTCGCTTCTCACACCAAGTGGCTGGAGGGCTGGTTATGAGTGTGGACTGTGGCTGGTTCTGCCACATTCTTGGTGGGAGATCACGGGTCAGTAACTCCATTCATCTGAGCCTCAGTTTCCCCATCTATACAATGAGGACAGCAATGGCACCTGCCTCACAGGACTGCATGAAGACTCACTGAGGTAACATAGGGGAAGGAGCACTTCGCCCATGCTCCATGAACAGGAGCTGGTCACAAAGTCTCAAAAGTGAGGAAGGGGTGTGGGGGACAAAAGTTATCAAGGATCACCTGCACGGTAACTGCCGCACAGGCTCAGAGAGGCTGTCGCCTGCCCAAGGTTATCCGTCTGGAGCTGGTGGGGAAGCAGGTTTGATCCACACCATGGGTTCTGCCTGTGTAGATGAGGAGCGGCTGATGGCAGGAGGCTGGCCCTCAGGTGGGAGGAGGGAATGGAGGGGACTTCCCGCCAGGGGCTGGCAGGGGGCGGTGCTGGGTACCTACTGTCACCCCTCACGTGAGCTCCCATCCACCGGGACCACGGCCCTTCTCTGGACACTGCATCTTCTCAGCCCGAGCCACCGCAGCCATCAGAGTGACCCGCTGGGGAGGCAGGCTCGCTGCTCCAGTCACAGAGTCGCGGAATAGGCTGGTGGGGAGCCAAGGGTTAACCCCCAGCCATCGTGCCAATCTGACGGAGGGCGCCAGCAGGGAGCCAGACCTGGGCTCCCCATCCGGTGCTATTACACACCTCTCCGACAGACCTTCCTCCTCTGGAAGGCAGCCCGGGAGCCCTGCTCCCGAGGGAGCTGATAAGGCGTCTCATTCTCCTCTCTGCTCCCAGCATCCTTTGCATGTGAGTGTAGGCAAAGAATATTGCTTCTGGACGCAAGCAGGCTAGACTCTATTGTCTAGTGGCCTCTCTGAGCCCCTTTCTTCTCATCCATAAAATGGGTATAACGATTCCCATTTTATAGATTCAGGGGAGGGGGAAACAGAAAAAGCTCCGACAGCACTCGGAACAAGGCGGTTAATACAATTCCCAGAGCCCTATGTCTCCTGCCCAGCTCCCCTCCCAGCCACACCTCTGCCACTCCCTGTTTCTCCAAGCCCCGGAGATTTGGGGTATGCCTGGGACCCCCCCAGCAGGCAACAGCTGGCAGGGCGGGGTGCAGACGCCAGGTAAGCTCACCCCATAGCAGGAAGTTTGCTTAGAGGGCAGACGTGGCGTGGCCCTCATGCCACCTGCCGTCACGTTGGAGCCAGTGTGGCCCAGCCAGCCCCAGGTCCTGTTCCTGTGGTCCAGAGGACCCGTGCAGGAGGCCCCATGCAGAGTCCCCACACCGCACACCCTTCCGCGGGGTGTGTGTGCTGGTGTGGGGCCGGCCTGCCACTCTGGTCCCTGGGCCAGCAAGCTCCACAGAGGCTGGGGCTTGCCCCGCTCTCTGGAGCCCCGGAGAGGCAGGAGACCTGGGCCATCCCCCCTCCAGCTGAGTCAGGCAACCAGCGTCAGGAAAGGGAAAGAAACAAGGCTGAAATACTATTTGCCCAACGTGTAAGCTCCCTAACATTCATGACGACCCTGGGCGCTCGGCTCTCAGCCACCGTACAGGCGAGTAAAGGCCCTGCATCAACTGAGCAGAGAAGCCCCAGTCCTAACTGCAAAGCTCAAGCCAGCGGCACCGATCGGCCTTCTTCCCATCCCAGCCCCCAATCTCTCTGCACCTTGGCACCGTCCTCTGTGAAACAGGGCTAATCCTCACACTTACCATCCCCTGCAAGCCGTTGAGGCTCAAATCAGTTAGCGGGCACTAGAGAGCAATGCAAGCCAGAAAGCACAGTCACACACAGCTGCAAGGCTACAGTGCCCGTGAACTTCACCATGCATACACTTCCCCATCCACCCCCTCACCTGAGCCTAACAGCAATCTCAGGGGAGAGTTCCGTCACCGCCACATGACAGATGGAGAATTAGACCTGGCCCAGAGAGTCTAAGTAACAAGCTCCAGGACACACAGAGACACTGGGATCCTCATGCCTGAACAGCCCCGTGCTTTTTCTGCTATGCTCACTGAGGACAGGGGCCCAGGGAAGCCTCCTGTCCTGCCCCTGGTGGGGGGGGGGGGGCAGATGCTGGCTGGGCTATGTCAACCCAGGGAAGAGGCACAAATGGAAGCGGCCTCCCCCATATCCAGCCATCCCAGCTCTGACCCTAAGCCTTGCGTCTCCGGATCTGATGGGCCATGAGCACCCTTCCGAATGGGCTTCTTCCCCGCCCTGCTGGGGGTGAGGGCCAACCAGCCTCGCCTCACAGACGCTACCGTGGCCCAGACCCTGTTGAGTCAACATGCCTGTGTGTACAGACAACACCCGAGCCAGCAGTGGGGCCGGGCAAGGAGGGCGAGGAGGGACGGGTTACGGTCTACCCTGAGGCTTGGCCCACTTCCAGGCAACCCCCCCTCTCCGTGTGACCAGGTAGGTCCTTGGTCTCTCTCAGAGCCAGGCTTCTCGTCTGAGAAGTGAGGGCATCGGCCGGAGAGTCCCCACAGCCCCGCCCTGCCCTACCCTACCCTCTACAGTTGGGTCAAAGCAAGGCCAGACCATTGTACCGAGTGGCCCCCGGTGGCCCCCGGTGAACGCGCTATTGCCTCTGACCCCAGGGACTCACAAGCCGGTGGCAGGAAGAATGTGTTACATTCTTTAACTCAGAATGTGTTACATTCTCATTAAGGGAAGAAGGGTGTCCAGGTCCCAGGCCAGCTCACTGTGTGTGGCTTAGCCTCTGATACACCCAAGTCGCTTCCATGCTGGGGTGCGGGAGTACAAGCTTTGCAGCTTTGCAGCCGTGGGCTCTGCCACTTCTTAGCTGTGTAACCTTCACCTTCTTCTTCCGCAAATGGCAACAGTAATTCTCACCTTGCAGGCAGACAGCCTGGGGATGTGTGGACACAGCCCATACTTGACTAAATGGATACATATATTACAAGTGCACACCTAACGCATGCATTCTCCGCCAGGTAAAAAAAAAAAAAAATGGAGGGGCTCTTGGCATCTTGGTGATGCTCTGTTTATGTATAGAACACAGATATACATACAGGGCAGACAGGTATACAGTATATCTGTGGTCTGAAAGTTTCATGGACGGGGTGGGGGGTTAAGAAAAAAATGCCGGGGTGTCTGGGTGGCTCAGTTAAGCCTCCTGATCTGGGCTCAGGTCATGAGCTCATAGTTCACGGGTTCCAGCCCCACGTTAGGCTCTGGACTGACAGCACAGGGCCTGGAGCCTGCTTGGGATTCTCTCTCTTCCTCTCTCTTTGCCCCTCCCCAGCTTGCACGCACTCTCTCTTTTTCTCTCTCTAAATAAATAAATAAATAAACATTGAAAAAAAGAAAACAATGCCTAAAAGGCTCATTAGAGAAAGCGATCATTTTTTAAACTTTTTTTAGTGTTTATTTATTTTCGAGAGACAGAGTGTGAGTGAGGGAGTGGCAGAGAGAGAGAGGGAGACACAGAATCCAAAGCAGGCTCCAGGCTCCAAGCTGTCAGCACAGAGCCCGACACAGGGCTCTAACCCACAAGCTGTGAGATCATGACCTGAGCCGAAGTCAGAGGCTTAACCAACTGAGCCACCCAGGCGCCCCGAAGCGATCACTTTTAAAAGGTTGAGAAATTTGGTCTTAACACAAGAGTTTGTCTCCACCTCTATCCCACCCCAGAGCCTTTGCACGTGCTCTCCCACCTCTCCTGCCCCACGCGCATCTCTACCTCTTATCCACCCTAGGAACAGTTGACACTTACTGTGCACCTACCGTGTGACAGGCGCAGGGCTACGTTCTACACCTACATCATCCCATTTGATTCTCCCCCATGTCCTCTGAGCTAGGGAGCAGTGAGGGCACAGACAGGGTTTAAGTCCCGACTTGGACATGCACTAGCTGGGTGTCCCTGGGCAAGTTGGTTAAGGTCTTGGCACTTTGGGCTCCTCGTTTATAAATGGAGTTAATAATACTACCTACTTCAGAGAGCTGCCGTAAAACCAAAATGAGTAAATACCTGAAAAGCACTTAGAACAGTGTCCGGCACGTGGTGAGTACGGGTGCTTGCTGTTATTGTGCCGTTCTCATTCCTGTCTTATTTCAGATGAGTAAACTGAGGCCCAGTAGGGCTGCACCATCTACTTGAAGTCCGGCTTGCTCGTTAGTGATAGAACCAGGAGAGGATCCTAGTAGGTTTACGCCTGTGCCTGGGCTCTTAACCCCTATGCTACCTGCCCCGTATGTACCATGCTGAGCTCAATTGCCACCTCCTCCAGGAAACCTTCCTGGATTTCTCCATGTCTCCCCAGGAGCATGTCTGTCCCTCTCTCACAGCTCTAACTACCCTGGCTTGTCAAAGTCTGTCAATGGGCTTTAACCCCCTCCAGGGCTGTGCTGATCGGCCTTCAAATCCCCAGGACAGAGGCAAGGCCTGGTCCAGAGGAGAGAAACCCCAGGAGACAGTGTGGCGGTGCTTTATGCACCACTCCCACCCATCACCTCCGCCCTGCCCTGCTGACCTGCAGCTCTCCTTGTCCGAGGGCTCCGCGGTGAGATAGTACAGGTCTCTGGAGAGGTGATATGGGTCCCACCGGAGAGGCCCCCGCGTGTTGGCCTTGATGGACCACAGCAAGCCAACGAGTAGGAGCAGGCCGCCTGCGCCGCAGCAGAAGACGCTGACCGACCTGAGCAGGGGGCTGGGGGCCTCAGGCACCGGGCGCCCAGGGGGCAGGGCCGGCCGGCCAGGCCCAGCACCTGCTTCTCCTTCACTCCACCAAGCGAAGCAGAGCGTCCCAGCTACCAGGAGCGCCGTGCCGCCGACCGTCAGGCAGGAGCGGAGCACGGAGGCCGCTCGGCTCACGTGACACGTCTGAACACAGAGGGGGGAGGCAGGAGGAAAAGGGCCATGAGGGGGGCCTACTGGGGTGCGCAGACCACGTCCTCCCCGGTCAGAGCTCACGGTGTAACCTCGGAGTGGTCATTTGACCCCTCCGTGCCTCAGTTTCCTCATCTGTTAAACGGAGGTGATACTCCCAACTTTGCAGGGCTGTTTTGAAGGTCACAGAGAATGTGTCTCAAGTTCCTAGCTCCCTGCCTGGGGCCCAGGAGCTCAGTAAGTGTGGCTGTGTCCACTCCGGTCCCCTCCAGGCCTCATCAGCCCCGTCAGCCTGGGGGTATGACTCCCTCACCCACGCCCACCCAGTCTGCTACAGGCCGGGAGGGAAGAGAGTGAACACCTATTGAGTCCAGCAGGCCTTCAGGGTCGAGACTTGCGGGTGCTGCCTTGCCTCACTTCCCCTGGTCACAATCCCAAAAGGTCAAATTTGGCAAACGGAAACCAAGGGCAGGGAAAGCAGCAAGCATGAAGTGCCAAGTTGAAATGCACGACATGAGCACCTTTGTGCAAGAAGATGTTAGATGTTCGCCATGGCCTTATTAATAATGGTGCTAATTTGGAGAAAGCCTAAATGTCCAACTACAGGGAATTGCGGAGTGGACCATAGCGTACCCTCCAGATGGAATATTAATAACTCCTTTGAAACAATGAGCTCAGTATAAGTGTTTAACAACAGGGGAGATGTGTGTATATCTTCCTTTTTTCAGCCTTTTTTTTTTTTTTTTGAGAGAGAGTCTTAAGCAGATTCCACACCCAGCATGAGCTGGAAGCAGGACTTGACCCCACGACCCTAGGATCGTGACCTGAGTGGAAACGAGTCAGAGGCTCAACCGACCAAGCCACCCAGGCTCACCTCTTTTTTCAGTTTTGTATGCCAAATTATGCATAGTGTAGAATATCGATCAGGTAAAGAAAAAACGCACAGGAAAAACACAAACTGGGAGGAGCCCTGGTCCGAGAGCATGCAGACAAGAAGAGGCTGAAACCCACGTTCATGTTGTCCCCAAAGCCAATCTCTAGGCCATTGTACATGCTGTTCCTTCTGTCTGATAACTTGTCATTATCTCCCCCCAAGTCTCAGAAGCCCTCAGTTAAATACCAAGTCCCCGGGCCTTCTTGGATCACAGCACCTCTCTGTCTGTGCTTAACTTCTCCCTTTTCCTCCCCCCTCCCGGATATATTGGCCAACGTTCACTGCTCTATCCCCCCCGGGGGGGGGGGGAGGGATATAGTAGCCGCCTAGCGCATAGTAGCTGCTCAATAAACATTTGCTGAAGACAATGTCTTATATGAGGGACAGTGTTACTGGGAAAACCTTTGTTATGTGAAAAGCCTCCCCTACAGCTGGGAGGGGCTTGGAGAAGGGAGGGGCACAGGATTTCAGCAGCTGCAGCACACCACCCCCCACCCCTAGCCATGGTTCTGGGGTAGGCTTGCCAACCGCTCCTAGCCTGTTTCCTTACCCTTATCAAGGTCAGGTTCTTTAGCAGGCTGCTAGGAGAAGGTAGAGACACCGTCTCCTCTTTCAAAGCCTGAATCAGGCAGGGAAGCAGGGGGCTGAGGAACTCATACACCTCAGACTTCAGTGATCAGGGATGCCTTCCAAATGAGGGCTCACCGGGCGAAATGTGCTGCATCCGAACAACACCTGCTGTGCACTCGTTCAAAGCCATGCTCCCAGGAATGCTGAGGGGCATCGTAAAGTATTCAAGATACAGTAGGTGAAGCTCTAGACTTCAAAAGGGCATGTTCCCAATTGTGTTTAACAACACACGTGTGTTGGGGGTTGCCAGGGGGGCTCAGTCGGTTAAGCGTCTGACTTTGTCTCAGGTCATTATCTCACAGTTTGTGGGTTCAAGCCCCACATCAGGCTCTGTGCTGACAGCTCAGAGCCTGGAGCCTGCTTCAGATTCTGTGTCTCCCTCTATCTGCTCCTCTCCCATTCATGGTCTGTCTGTCTGTCTGTCTCTCTCTCTCTCAAAAATAAACAAACATTAAAAAAAAATATGTGTGTATGTGTGTACATGTGAGAAAAAGATTGTATACATGTAACAGGTGCTCTAGGAGTGGACCCCAAATCTTTCTGAGCCCCCAGACCACCGGAAGCATATAGAAAAATGTCATCCATAAATTACCTGAAGTTCTCTTCCTGACAATCGGTCTGTGGGGCAAGTGCCTCCCGTCTCCAGCTCAAGGCATTATTGTGGGGGTGGAAAAGAACTTGACTCCTCCCTCTCCAAAGTGAGACAGCCACAAGAGGCTGTCGAGAGGAAAAGCTGCAGAAACCAGCTTGGAAACCCCCATTTAAAACCCACAGCAGATGAATAACGGTTAACAACCCCTTGCCTGTATACCACGGCCCCTCTTCACACTCCCCACAGCTGAGGTGGGTGGTGAGGGCAGGGAAAGAAATTCCTGCTTTGCAAATGAGGAGACCTAGCCGAGAAAGGTGAAGGATTCTGCGCAAAGCCCGAAATTGGTCTGCTCCTCAACACTTGAAGAACTTGCTTCTGCAGAAGGTAACTTCAGATGCTCTTAAACTGCTATAGAAGCAATAGCTGCTCATGGTGAGAAAAAAAGAGAACCACAGAAGTGAAGAAGAATGAACCACTGTTAATTCCACCCCTCAGAATGAACATGACCTACACGCGGGATGTCCCCATTCCATCTCTCGCTTGCCCTACATCCATGACCATGGCAGCAGCAGACATGTACTGGGCATTTACAGGGGCTGGGCACCACCCAGCCCTTTATCGGTACCTCGACTGAATCCTCACAACAGCCTATGGAGCTCTGAGGGTGACAGCTTGCCTGAGGTCAGTGCCAAATTTGAACCCAATCCCGGAGAACCGGGGACCTTGCCCTGGGGAGCCCCCTGTCCTCATCCAGGGCCCTCATTTCATATCCCCCCCTTCAAGACCCAGTCCAAATACCACCTCCTCCCAGAAGCCTATCTGCTGGCACCACCCCCACCTCCCACCAGCTAGAGGAGGCCTATCCCGGCGTCGGACGTATCACTCTCTCTAACTACGGCCATTCTATGAGCCCTGTGACCTTGGAGCTGCTCAGCATCTCTGAGCTCAAACTCTGCCTCCCAGGGAAGAAGAGCAAGTTGTAAAGACGAGGTGGCGAGACAGTATGCTGTAATGAAGCATGGTGGCACAGAGCTGGGCAAGGATGGCCCCTGCCTCTGACCCTGGGCAAGTTACCCAGCTTCTCCCTGCCTCAGCTCCCTCCTCTGTAAAGTGGGCATCATAACACCGTCTGTGCAACCAACAAGGGAGCTCCGGGTGCCACTCTTCCGGAAGAATTAAACCATCTGAACAGGAAGTGGTCCAAACCATCCCAATAGACTGCTGGGTAAACTGAGGCCCTGACTGCCATGCTCAAGGCCACCCAGTGAGTTAGAACACAGGAAGAGACCTGGGTGTCTGCTCTGCACCACCTGACCACGTGGTCAAGGTGAAGAGAGGTGGTCCAGGTTAGGAGGGGCTGAGATGCTCTGGAAGGAAGGAGAGAAGGAAGCTTACACCCACCTCAGATGAAGCCATGAGGGCGCAGGTGGTCAGGCGAGGTCCAGGCGCGGGGACCAGAGAAAGGTGCAATCCTGGGGGTGGCTGTCCCTCCGGTTTGCAGGAGGCGCCTGGAGTTAGGAAGCGGCCCTGTCGGAGGTCCCCTAGCCCGGCTTTCCGAACGCCCCCGACCCGCAGTCTCCCCCTGCGCTGTGCAGAGAGGTGCCCAGCAGGCCGCACACCGCGCGCACCCGCCCCGGGGGCTGTGATCCCCTCAGGGGCTCCGCGAGCTGCAGGGGCGCTCTGGGGCGCCAGAGGGTGCGCACCCGGCTTCGCGCTCCTCCTGGGGCTCGCGCTGCAGCTGGGGGGGGGGGGCGCCCGCCGCCCCGCCTCTGCTGCGATCCCCGTCCTAGCGCGCCGTCGGTCAAGGCTGGAGACTCCCGGTCCGGGGAGCTCCAGGTGTCGCGCCTCCGCGCCGCGGGCCCCGCCCGCCCGACCTTAAAGCGACAGCGAGACCCGGGAGGGCGGGGGAGGGTTCCTAGGCCCTGGGAGCGGCGGGCAGGGGCGGCGACCGTCGAGAGCTGGCTGTCCTTGCAGCCGTCCAGCGCCGCTGGAGCCCAGATGGACTCCTCCCAGAGCCACCAACGCTCAGTCCAAGAGGGTCCCAGGAGAGCTGAGCCCATGCCTCCTCGCTCCCATTCTTCAGGGAGGGAAACTGAGGCCTACAGAGGGCTTACCGCATACTCCCTGGTAGTGACACTCAGTCCGAGAGCAAGCCCCCCCTCCAGAACCTCACGGGCTGGGGAGGAAGGTGTGCTTCTCCCAGCGCCTGCAGGAGGTCGCTGCCCTGGCCCCGAGAGGCTGGGACAGTGGGGTTTGGGAGCAGGGCCTCCCACCTGCCGTGTGACCTAACTTCTCTGCGCCTTCTTCCTTCTGGGTCAACGGAGGGCTGATCATTCCAGCTCAGAAGTCTTCCCGGACTGAATGAGTTAAGCAGTGCAGGTTAAGCACTAGGCCATTTACCAAGTGCAGGCTAAAGGCGGTTTGCGGGGACAGGTGATTTGGGAGTCTTCGGGAAGCGGGAGGCAAGTGTGGGTGTGTGGAGGACACTGGGGCTGTCCTGGAGCTCAGGAAGGGGACGTAGTGTCCAGGCGGAAGGAGCATCGTGCGCAAAGGCTGGGCAAAACCGTAGGCTGGTGAAACCTTCATAGACCCATGTAGGTCAAATAGAGCCAGTTCCTGCACTAGCTGTGGTCTGGGTTTCGTTTTTGTCTTTTCCTGCTGCTTCAACAAGCCAGGGGCCTGGGCAGGTTCCCCTCACCTGCACACCGAACTGGTGGTGACCGACTGTCCTTCCCGCCCAGGGACACAGAAGGTCAAGGCAGCCTGTCCAGTTGGGATCTAGAGCTCAGAGAGGGGAAACCACTGCCTCAAAGCCACAGCAGGTCAGCAGCAGGGCCCAGGCCCCCAGTTCCTATACCCTCTGCGTCCCAGGAAATGCCACCCAAGAGCATCAGCGTTCTCTGAGCACAGACTCATCTTGGCTGTGTGAGAGCCTCGGGGAACCCAGGAAGCCTGCACAGAGTTCAGAAGTGGCAGGAGCGCCTGGGTGGCTCAGTCGGTTAAGCACTGACTTCGGCTCAGGTCATGATCTCACGGTTCGTGGGTTCGAGCCCCGTGTCGGGCTCTGTGCCGACAGCCTGGAGCCTACTTTGGACTCTGTGTCTCCCTCTCTCTCTGCCCCTCCCCCGCTCATGCTCTGTTTCTGTCTCTCAAAAATAAATAAATGTTCAAGAAAATTTTTTTAAAAAAGAAGAAGTGACAGACCTCAAAGCAGGACCTCCTCCAGCTTTGCTGTTCTCAGTCTGGAGGTGGGGGCAAGCCCGTGGGGACCCAAGGCCCCCAGCAGCACTCTTGGTGACCTCATGGACTTGCTCCGAGGACAGAGATAAGAAGAGGTGGCTGGAGGCCTTAGGGACAGGCATCCATGCGGGGCATGAGCGCCTCACTGATTAGGCCCCATCCACCTGTCTACCCCCGCCACTCCTCTGCCGGTCGGCCAGTGGTACGTCACAAGTTGGTGAGGTGGAGGTCCCCACTTGGGTGACCCTGCTTAAACCTGAGTCCCCTGGCCCAGGCTGGACACCAGGCCCTGGAGTTGGACAGGTTGGTGGCGTCTGTCCTGACTCAGCCCCCTCCAGGCAGGAAGACCCTGGCTACATCATTTTCTTGGAGCTGTGTTCCTTTATCTGTCAAGTGGAGATCATGGCCCCTCCTTCCCAGGGTAGCTCTGGGGCCTGGGGGCACTCTCACGTGGCCTCATGGCTCTATTTGTGATTCTCCCCCAGCTGGTGGTGACTTCCCCAGGGCAGGGGCCCGATGTGGCTTGACTCAAGACCCAGCCAGACCCAGCGCCGCCGGGGACCAGAGTGGGCTGGGACTGGATACTGATTGGAACCCAGGTAACTGGCCCGGTTCTGCCTCCGTCTTCCTCTTCCCCACGTCTGGGGGAGTTCTGGTCCCCCAGGCCGTCAGGATGCCTGGGCACTGTGGTGGGTCCCCTAGGCCTGGCGTGCTTGTAGACCCTTCCTGAACAAGCAACCTCACGCTTCCCTGGGCACCAGCAGGGTGACTCACAGGAGAGAGTCGGTCACCAGCTTCTGCCTCAAGGGCGTGGGGAAGAGAGCTGCCACTTGCACCCACTTATTACATGTCACCAGCCATATGCTTTTCCCATTAGCTGTCACCTCAGCTAAGTCATCGAGGCTGAGTGAGAATGCCTTGCCCGGGGTTACATAGCTAATAAGTGAGGGGGCAGGGGTGGGGAGAAGAGGTGCTAAAACCCACATGGGTCTGAATCTTCTAGACCCATAGACACTTGTCCATTTTAGCCATATTATCCCCTCCTCAGTTCCAACACGTGCTAACACCTCTCCCCAGCCTCTCTGCCCCTAGACAATCTGTCCTTCATTCTGCACCAGCCTGAGTTCCAAACCAGCACCCAGCCAGTCTCTCCGGCCCCTCGCCCACCTAAGTCTCTCAGTGCTCCCTGGTCCTTTCAGAATAACGACCGCAACTGCTGAGTATCCACTTCCTGGCTTCGTTTTCTGTGCTCCCTGCAGGGCAGTTCTGAACTCCTGGTGCGGTGTGTTCCCCGCACAGTGCAAGGCAGCTGCTATGTCCGGTGAGCCTCACATGATGAGCTCACACACTCCCTTTAAGACTCAGGTCACAGGTCACCTCCTCTGGGTGACTTTTCCTCAGTGCCCCAAAGCAGAATGATCCAGTCCCTCTCCCAAGCTCCTGATGGAAAGTCCGTCATCGCCCTGAGCACGCCGGCACAAGCCACCTGCCTTCCCTTCTTCTGTGCCAATAAAAAGAAATCACTGGGGCTGCCTGGGTGGCTCAGTCGGTTAAGCATCTGATTTCGGCTCAGGTCATGATCTCACAGTTTGTGGGTTTGAGCTCTGCGTCGGGCTCTGTGCTGACAGCTCAGAGTCTGGAGTGTGCTTCGGATTCTGTGTTTTACTCTCTTTCTGCCCTTCCCCCACTTGTGTGCTCGCACGCTCTCTCTCTCTTTCTCTCTCTGTTTCTCCCCCTCACAAAGAAATAAACATTAAAAAAGAAGAAATAGTGGACATTGCAGAGAATTTAGAATATATAGACAAGTTAAAAGAAATCAGGATATCCACCTTAACAGATATGGAACCCATAAGAGAAGAAAAACCTTTCCCTGAGTATAGCCTCATCTGCACAAGCTCTGCCCACCTGCTTCCCCCCTGCCCTCACACTCTCACCTTTTTGAGCAGGCTGCCCTGGAGTCCATGATCACAGGCCACATTTGGAGAAGCAATGAGAAATAAGCCCTGGAATCAGACAGGCTTCTCAGAGTTGTTATTAGGATTAAATGATTTATTATCTAACATGCTTAGCAATAGTGCTTGGCTCATAGTGTTCATAATATTGGCCATTATTATTATTATTATTGTTTTATCTGTAAATAGAAAGAAGCAATGAGAGAGTCCACGATCTGCTGTGAAGAGCATCCTCCCTCCCTCTCTCACCCCCTGCTTCTCGGTCTTTTCCAAGATCACCAACCAGCTGGAGGCAACCGGCCCCTGTGACATTTTGACATGACCCTTTTCCAAAAGGGCACGTCTTACAAAAATCTGATCGTGCATTGCACTTTTAATATGCTTCTAGTTTTATTTAGCACAATCTATCATGGATATCTTTCTACCCAGCACTGCGTTCTCATTATTGGCTTACACGTCTGCCTCACCTACGGACCGCATCTCGTGGGTAGGCGTAGATATCTCATGCCCTGAGCCCACCCTCCCCCCGCCCCCTGCCATCTCAAAGCTGGCACACCATAAGCCCGCTGTGAGTGTATGTCACGAACAGCATGAGATGTGCAATGGTAGGTTCTGTTCCCTGACTATGAGCGCAGAGCATGTCCCTAGGGAGGGGAGAAAGCTCATGGGGGCTGGGGACATCCCAGGGTCTGCCGGCGATGCAGCCAAGGTCAGGGAAGACCAAGGAGCGGGAATATCTTTAAGGAACAATTTCTGAGCACATTCCTTAATGCCAGATGGCAAAAGGGCTCTGAGGGTTGGTTTCATGAGAGAGAGGGTTTAGACCGGCGTCCTCGAGCCAGAGCTATTTTGCCCACCCTTATTCCTCAGAAGATATTTGGTGATGTATGGAAATGTGTGTGCTTTCACAACGGTGGTGGGCCGACGGATGCTGCTGATATCTGGTGTGTGGAGGTCAGGGATACTGCAAACATCCTACAATGCTCCCACAACAGAGTGACCTGTCCCAGGTCTGGGTGCCAAGACTGAAAAACCCGACTAACTCAAACTAACTGCTTGAGACTTAGTTAGGCTTCAGAGACTGCTTGGTTCAACAGATTTCAGACAGTGTCGCAGAGAGAAGGAAAAATAAATACATGTGACTACATAACATAAAGCAATGTAAGAGAGAATGAACCTGAGATTCCAGAAAGTCAGCCCCATTTGTCTACCTGCCTTAAGAGA